CAGATTTCACAAAGTGCATGTGTAGTCTGATGGAGGCCAGGAGATGCAATATTGGTAAGATTTGTTCTTGTCTTCTGGAAGAGAGGACCTGTAGAGCTGGGACTGAGGTATGCGTAGCTGGAGTGGGCAGGGCATGGTGTAAGCAAGTTAGGTAGTGAATACTTGAGCCAAGCTTGTTCTCACAGGTGGTCATCTGACTTTACTTGGTGAGGTGTAAGGAAATGGCACCTGCCAGCACCTTTGTTCGTGGAGAAGTCTCTCAGTGAACTCTGAGATTAGGAACTAATTATCCCTTCTATATGCCTCAGGAGTTTTTCAAACTGCTGCCGCTAAGCTATATCTTTCTGGGCTGTTTGTTTTACTGTGTCTTTAAGGACAGGACTCAGATTCTTATTGCTCTTAAGGCTCTTCCAGAGCTGAGCCTGCTGATTTTTAAAGCTCTAAGCTTTAAGTCTCATTGGTTGTTAAGAACTCACAAAATTCAAAATTCAGTACCTCTGATTTTTACAGCTAAATGCGGTGGGGATTCATCTTCCTTATGCAGGTTCCCTGACGTGAGAGTTTGTTTTTCACCCTTGTCTATGTCTGCAGCTCTCTTTATCCAGTAGCCAGACCTGTGGAGTTAAGCTCCCAGCCATATCTCTCCCCTTTCTATCCTCTTCAGTGTGACCTCTTATCTATATTTAATTGTGGAGTTTATTCTACAAGTCTTTGTCCATTTTCTGGGTTATTTGCACTGATGTGAGTGTTATCTAGTTGTATCTTTGGGATAAAGTTAGTTTAATTTCCTCTTACTCTACCATCTTCCCAAAAGCAAGCCTGCTTGCTAACTGCTCTTTATAGTAGTGGCAGATCCCTCCCCCACCCCTTTTTGACTCTGAAGAAATGAACATTAAACTGGAAAGAGTAGAACGGACATGATGATGGGATATTTAAAGCTCAAACAAGGTCATATGTGGGAAAGAACTTAGGTGCCATAAATTAGCATATTTCTTTAGAATTGTAAAATTTACATAGTGGGATTCTCAAAATTCTTACAGATATAACATCAGAATCACAGTTTTGGGTGGGTCCTAATGAACAACAGTTATTTTTAAAAGGGAAATTGGAAAAGATAAGATTTTGGAAAGTCTGAAAACTCTGATAACATACTCCAAGAACGATCACACTATACCATTTCCCATTTATAAATGGACAAGTTTTAGTTATATAGTCATTCTCAATTCTTAGATCAATTTAAGCACAACTGAACATTCCTGAGGTAAGTAAGTGTTGTAGGATCAGGCTAAGGAAGATCCTAGGAAGCTCTTTAAAAGAAAAAAAAAGAGTGAGAATTGGAGATGTGAACTGGAACCTAAATTAAATAAGTAATTTAATAAGAGTTTTTATATAAAAAGAAGCTATGGAGGAGTTATATTTTTTCTTCCTAAAACTACTTCAGAAAATAGATTTAAACTCTGAATGAAGTTGACAGGAGGATGACTTACTGCTCACCACTGGAATATGTAAATATGTTTAAAAAAAACCCTCTAATTTATATAAAATTCTAGCCCAAGTTTTACATCTTCCAGGAACATGTTTTCTTTTATTTCCATAGGCCACATTTATGTGATCTTTCTCTGAACTTTTATTGTCCTCAGAATTAATAGCATGCAATAATTAATTAAGTTTCCCTGTGTCAACTATGTACAAAGACCAGGTTAGATACTACAGGAGATATATATGAAAGTTAATCGGGTTATCATCTTCTTGAGTTCATCAGGAGAAGGCTTTATTGCTTTGAAAGTTTAATTAGAGTTTATGAAGTAGAGAAAATTTTTCCAGTTAGAATTTATGGATTCCAAGTAGAAGGCCAGGAAGTAAGCCATGGCTATACTATCTTACTCTGATGGTAAGAGGCAGGAAAAGATGAAGCTGTAGGGAAAGATGTGATTGTGAATAAGCCACAGAATGGGAAAACATTTACCAGTTATATATCTTATAAGAAATGTATATCTAAATATACAGAAATATCTTATGTCAGTTATAAAAAGACAAATAATGCAATTTTAAAAATAGTCAAAGGATATGAATAGGTTTTTATCCAGGGAAGATATAAAAATGTCCAAAAGGTCCATGGAAAAATGCTCACCAACATTAGTCATCAGGGAAATGTAAATCCAAATGACAATAGAATACCATTTCACATTCATCATGATGGCTATAACAAAAGAGTCAGATAATAATAAACATTGTTAAGTACCTCAAACACTGCTGGTGGGAATGTAAATTGGCACAGTCACTTGGAAAACTATTTGACAGTGCTTCAAAAAGTTAAATATAGAGTTACCATTTGATCCAACAATTACCCTTCTAGGTATATATCTAAGAGAAATGAAAACGTATGTTCAGATAAGCATTTGCATATGAATTATTCATAGCAGCGTTATTACTGATAGCCAAACAATGGAAATAACACAAATATTCATCAACTGATGAGTAAATAAACAAACTGTGGTAAACCCATTCAATAGAATGTTATTCAGGCACAAAAAGGAATGAAGTACTGATATATGCTGCATATATGGGTGAACCTTAAAATCCTGATCCTGCGTAACAGAACCCAGCCACAAAGGCCACATGTTATGTGACTCAATGTATATAAAATGTCCAAAATACACAAATATATACTTGTTGTTTAGGGCTAGTTGGGGGAGGGAGAGTGTGAACACATGGGGTCGATAACTAGAGTACAGGGTTTCTTTCATGGTAATGGCAATGTCTTAAAATTGTGGTGATTGTTATGCAACTGTGACTATACTAAAAAACATTGAGTTGTACACTTTAGGGAGATAAATTATGTGGAAGTCAATTAGATCTCAATTATGTGATTATAAAAAAATCCAAAACTTTATAAACGAGTCTGAACTGTAATTATCAATATGAATTGGTGGTGTAGTTTATCTTTAAAATCATTTCCAACCTCTGTACACTGTAAATGCCTAAAGGTAATGACTAACGCAATAGCAAAGTTTAGTGCCCAGATGATGATCTCTTCCACTTATATTAAAAAGCACTTGTGTTTTTCTGAAAAATGGCTGATTTTAGTTATAAGAAAACAGGAAGTGTACAAAGTGAGTCTGAAACATCCTCTAGTTATTGGAAAAGAAAGTAACTATCAAAGACTTCTGGATCATTTCAAAAGAATCAGGAGACAACCTGAATGAGCTCCCACTAGTCAAAGATGAAATAACTTGACATCAGTTAAAACAAAAAGTATATGGAGTGAACCACATCAAGTATGTTTAATTTCATGACATTAAAAACAAATCATTGATGACTTTTGGTGATCTTTGTTTATTTTCAAAAGAGAAAGAAGCAAGCATTTGTCTTCAATTCTTATATAATTGTCCTCAGCAACCAAATAATTAATGAAGGGAAATTTCTCTTTGTGGAGGTATTCTAGCTAATAAATGAAGAAGATATAACAAATATCACTATTTTGTACCCCCCCATGAATTAATTGGTCTGAGTAATAAGCATCAATAGTTGATATAGAAAAAGAAAATGTGTAAATTCTGATAAAAGCATGAAAGACTATCCATGAAGGAAATGTTCTCAGAAAAGAAAAAAATTAACCTGAATCTGATCAAGCATCCAGATTTACCTACCAATTTATAAGAAATACAGGTAACAAAGGAACTCAGTTAATGACAACACAGGAGTACAATTAGCATAATAGACTTTAGAAATCTCTACGGGATAAATGCTGTAGTATCTTCAACAACATAAACAAATAGAAGAAACAGAAACAGAAGGAGGAGAATGTAAAAGACATATCAGTCATCTCAAGGTATGGAGCTTATTTACATGTTTATTTAAATGAATTATCTATTTATAGGATTTATAAGATGCAAAATCAAGGTTATGCAAACAAATAACCTTTCTGGCTGTCTGATGATATTAAGTAACTATTATTAATTTTCTATTATTATTATTAGATTTTTCGATATGATAAAGTATGAATATGATATGAAATATCATAATTTATTATGATTCTATCTTTTATGTTTTCTAAAAGGAATTATTGTTACTTAGGTGTGGTTATGTTTTTATGCTTTCTAATAGGAATCTCATAATTTAGAGATACAGGCTAATGATATATCTCTATGATATGAAATGATCTGCCATGTAGGGTTTACTTTAAAATAATTGAGGGAACAGTGGATAAGAATACAGTGAAAATGGTTTTTCATGTGTTAATAGTTTAGACCCCATGATAAGCAAGATATAATTTGAGGAAAAGGAAATAAAGGAACAATCTTTGGCAGCTCTCAATCTTACCTTACAGAACCATATTTCTACTCTGCTGGGCAACAGGTTTAAGTTCAACTCAGCTCAATGGATTTAAGCTCAACTCAGCCTAACCAAGGACGTATAAAAGCTAATGAATTGGTAATTCAAAGTCAGAATATGTAAAAAGTTAAACTGTTTATGTTTATTTGTTTGAAATATTAAATTCATTAATTTCCCATAGGTGGCAAGGATTTTGCCTATAGGTAACAGCAGGGAGTGGGTGTTTCAGCATCAGTGAAATTCTATTTTAAAAATTAACTGGAAAGGGAAGGACTGACTTCATTAAAAACTAAAGAAAAGAGAACGGAGAGCACAGATTTAATGAAATGTGGAAGAGCAGAAAAAGAAAAAAGAAGTCTCCATTTTCTACTGTAGAAGAATGTAAGCAAGGAAATAGGCCAAAGTTTTCATGGATATGAAAAAAGCCTGTATATTTAGAAAATGAGTAAGCTTTCTTAATATTTAAGTAGCCATTTTCATAAGAGAATAATTTATAAAGATTGATGTTGATTTATTTCCCTGAGTCCAGGAGACATAATTGGTTTTTAGTATTCTGATATTTGAAAATACTGAATTATGTTTAAGTAACTAAATGCTAATACTTATGTTTCTGTTTATGAAAAAAGTATTTGACGTTTTGAAAAGTCTGCATTAGGAGTGCCAAGTCCATCTCAGCCGTTTTTGCACCTGGATTCAGCCAGGAGGAACAACACAGCATGCTGGGCTCTGGATTTAAAGCTGAGCGTTTACGAGTCAATTTGAGATTAGTCATAAACCGTCTTAAACTATTGGAGAAAAAAAAACGGAACTGGCCCAGAAAGCAAGGAAAGAGATTGCTGACTATCTGGCTGCTGGGAAAGATGAACGAGCTCGGATCCGTGTGGATCACATCATCCTAGAAGACTACCTCGTGGAGGCCATGGAGATCCTGGAGCTCTATTGTGACCTGCTGCTTGCTCGGTTTGGCCTCATCCAGTCTATGAAGGAACTAGATTCTGGTCTGGCTGAATCTGTGTCTACACTGATATGGGCTGCTCCTCGACTCCAATCAGAAGTGGCTGAATTGAAAATTGTTGTTGATCAGCTCTGTGCCAAGTATAGCAAGGAATATGGCAAGTTATGTAGGACCAACCATATTGGAACTGTGAATGACAGGTTAATGCACAAACTGAGTGTGGAAGCCCCACCCAAAATCCTGGTGGAGAGATATCTGATTGAAATTGCCAAGAACTACAATGTGCCCTATGAGCCTGACTCTGTGGTCATGGCAGAAGCTCCTCCTGGGGTAGAGACCGATCTTATTGATGTTGGATTCACAGATGATGTGAAGAAAGGGGGCCCTGGAAGAGGAGGAGGAGGAGGGGGTGGTTTTGCAGCACCAGTTGGTGTACCTGACGGAACAGTGCCAGTGCCTATGTCTATGCCTATGCCCATGCCCTCTCCAAGTACTCCTTTTTCCTACCCACTTCCAAAGGGACCATCGGATTTCAATGGATTACCAATGGGGACTTACCAGGCTTTTCCCAATATTCATCCACCTCAGATACTAGCAACTCCCCCGTCGTATGAATCTGTTGATGACATTAGTGCTGATAAGAATGTCTCTTCTGCACAGATTGTTGGTCCTGGGCCCAAGCCGGAAGGAAGCCCCTGCAAAGCCCCCTTCCAAACCTGTGGACACCTATGACAACTTTGTACTACCAGAGTTGCCATCTGTGCCAGACACACTACCAACTGCATCTGTTGGTGCCAACACCTCAGCATCTGAGGACATTGACTTTGATGATCTTTCCCGGAGATCTGAAGAGTTAAAAAAGAAAACACAGATCTCATAAATCAGGCAACTTCCAGGCTGTGGGATTTGAGACTGCACTGTCTCTCCTTGTAACAAAGAATCTCCATGAAAATTTGTTTCATCTCTTAACCATCACTGAGCACACTTTTCCTCTGGGCTCTCTTCCTGCTCTAAATTCTGCTACTTTCCAGTTCTCTGTTGCTCTTAAGAGACTAACAGTTAGAGACAATGAGGCCAGAACAGCCTAAGCAGCCTTGCTTGTTCGTCTCCTTTGAGTGTGATCCCAGGTTCTCCCATCACCTGTCCTTCTGTCCCTCCGCAGGGAAAAGGTGAAAGCATTATAAGGAGAGCTGCCAAAGATGGCTGGATATGGAGGACAATACTTCATGAAGTCTCTCAGTCCTGTGCTGAAGTTCTAGACTTAGAAACAAACCCCTCTGTACAGAGGGTTTTGTGGTGAGCAAGAATCAAGGCAAAGGTGTGATATGAATGGGAAGAGAGACTGACTCTGGAAGCCTCTGTAACAGTTCTTGGAATCTGGGTCCTCTCATTGGCATACACACTACTCCTTGCTGCAGGGCACTGCTCTACCTGGATCCAGTTGCAAAGTTTATTTGGAAAGTTGAAGGCTTCTCTTAGTTCTGCTGGATTCTCAGGGAGCCCTCCGTGGCCTTTTGCTTTGAGTGCTGTGTTCCCCTTTTACCAGAGGGCAGCACTGCATAAATTCCTGTTTTTCCCCATAGCATGTTCTGTTGGATTGCATTTAGTGGCAAACGAAGGACAGGTCACATGTTGGGCAGAAGTCACCATTCAAGGCTAAGGTGGGCTTCCAATTGCCTTAACAGAAGTACTCAAGTCTCTTGGGTAGTGAGCTGGAATGTCTACAGGAGAAGAGGGGTTCTTGTTGTCATTTGAAAACTTTGATTAAGAGAACCATTAAAGGCTGATTTCAGATAATTTTTTTGGTGCCCATAAAAAATGTGGCTGTAGTTGTTCACTACTTTCTTAGATGGATAAGACTATTACTGTTGTAACTTAACGTGCTCCTTTTCCCATAGGTAAGGATATCCTTCCCCAGAGGGATGGTTTTGGGATCAGAAGGTAGGACTCTGGCTTATGTGTAGTGTAATGTATATACCTGTTTCAAGCAACTTCAGTGTTTTTGATTGGTTTGTATCTCATAGCTCAGTAGCTGATAATAAAGTTAAAAATTCTGTGGAAAAAAAAAGAAAAGTCTGCATTATTAACAATTTTTTTTATGACATACCATAGAGGATGACTTTCAAATGAACAAAATATATTCAAACTTTTCTGAACATATTTCTTCCTTGTTTAAAACTGTTCCAACTTATGGTCCTACTGTTATGACTCCCATTTCCTAGGATGCTAATGAGTTTGTGCATCTTTGCCATGTATTTTACTAGAGTCACTTTGGGCTTCTATCTGCTATATTTGTGTGGCAGGCAGAATTCTAAGATGATCCCCAAGATTCCTATACCCTGGAGTTCATGCTTTGTATAATCCTTTTGAAGGTGGGTGGGAATTGTGAATTTGACTGGGCAGTCACTCTCTTTTTTAGGTTACATGATGGGACAAAGGTGATGGTCATTATTATGATTACCTTATGTTAGGTATATTTCTACCATAGTAGACTGAAGACAGATGTTCCTGCTGGCTTTGAAGAAGCAAGATGCCATACTGTAATATGGCCATATGATATATTGCCAGATAGCCATGTAACATATTGCCACATGGCTATAACTTAAGGGCAGGCTTTAGGAACTAAGAGTGATCACTGGCCAACAAACAGCAAGAAAATATGGACCTACACTACAACTACAAGGAATTGAATTCTGCTTAGAGTGTGAATGAGCTTGGGTGAAGATGCTAAGATTCATATGAGGACAAAGCCCTGGCCGATATCTTGATTTCTGTCAGTGAGACCTTGAGCAAGGAACCTAGCTCTGCCATGTCTGGACTTCTAACCTAAAGAACTCTGAAATAATAAATGAGTGTTGTTTTAAACCACTGAGTTTGTGCTAATGTTAAACAGCAATAAAAATGAGTATAGTTGATGTTTCTTTAGAATGAGAGTATGGATGGGGAACATTATGGAGCATAGGTGTGGTTAGTGGGTTACTTGGAGTATAAGAAGAAAAGGGGAAGGTAGTTCTCAGATCCAATTCCCAGATGTTCCCTGGGACAAATTACCTGAGTTTGCTTCTATCTAGATTCCCTTCACTTTATTCCTTTGATTTTTTTTTGCTTCAAGAAAACCCATGTGAACCTGACTAGTTCATACTTTAAATAGTTTAATCAGATCCCCCTATTCCAATTAGTCTCCCTGTCATACTGGACCCTGGTTCTCATTAAAGTAGGAATTACATCTGAGGGTTTTGCTTTTAAATAAAAAATGACACTTTTATGTGATTGATATTTACCTACTTGGTATCTTGTGTGTCGAACGTTTTGTATGTATCTGTCTTTTTCCACCTTAGCACATATATGCATATCATAATACAAGATTTGGATATCAAAATTTGGATATCATATTACAGGAAAGAAATAAAAGTCTAGTATTACTTTTTTTTTTTTCTGTTTCAATACTGCAATTACCAGAGACATCTACTAACAGCTTATTACCACTAGAGAACAAAAGAGCTTATTTTCTTTCAGTTTGTTAATTTAACAAACAATTCTTTAGTATTTTCTATGCCATGGTAGGCACAACAGAGGAACATGAATATGAATAGAACATAGTATCTGCCTAGGACAGCAACTAGTAAGAAGGCAACTGTATTGACCCACCCTAAATTCACTACATATCACGTTGAGCTCTGGCATGTCCTCTGCCTTCTCTGGGCTTTTCTTCTATAAAGTGGTGGAATGGTAGATGATTCCAAAGTGTCTATTTTAAATGTGATGATAGTGTTGGGTCAAGTTGGCAGGCAGATTAGCAGGAGATGTAGGCTGGAATCAAGATGCAGTGCTACTAGAGCTTCATGGAGAAGCAGATTTGAAATTATAATATTGAATTTTATTAATATTTGATGAAATATAAGTAAAACAAGATTTTTTGAGTACTTATTACGGTGTCAGAAAAAGAAAACATTGATTATATCCAATGTTAGAGATATGTTGGGGGAAAAATACTACCAAATACAGTGGATAAGAGGATGATTTGACAATGTCTGTCAAAATTTTTACTGTGTCTACTTTTTGAATCAGCAATTCCATTCTAGGAATTCATGCTATGAAAATAACAAGTGCTCAGATACATACAAAGATATTTATTGCAGTGTTGACTATAATAGCTTTCACACTGGAATCAATGTCCATCAGTGGAAAACTGGCTAAATATAGGACACTACTATAGTAGAATATCATACTTTTAGAAAAAAGAATTTGGTATTGCAATATGTATTGACACAGACAGATGTCTATAAACAATATATTGTTTATTGAAATAAAAACAAGTTAAAAATCTATGATTCAATTTATCTAAAGAAATTATATATGTATACAATATACTGTATAGTATGCAAAACTATGTACTATGTATACATGTACAATGTATGATATATATACACATATACAATATACATATTTATATACAATTGGGTAGATTTTATATACAGAAGGGTCTAGAAGGATTCATACTAAATTGTTAATAGTATTCAACTTCAGGAAGTAGAATAGGATTAGAAGGGCAGATTTCCATTTTTGTATATGTAGTTTGAAAAATTTCCAAGAAGTGTATACTATTTTTACTACAAAAATTAGTTATACAATTTTTAATATGCACAGAAATATAAATAGGAAACTGTACTTGGTTATAGGGGGTATTGGGCTTGAGTTTAGATGCTTACATCAGTGAAAATATAGAGCCTAGAGCATGGAATAGGGTACTAGGATGGTATTAGCATAAACCATAAGACTACCATAAACAGCATCATTTATTTTTTTTAAGAAGCATGAAATGTGTTCAGAGGAGTGACTGGACAAGAAAAAGATTCAGCAAGCTAATGTTGGGAATGGGAGAAATAAGTCCACATAGGACTATTCCTAAGACTCAAGGGCAGACAGCTGAGGATAAAAGGTTTCCCTGTGGAGTCTGATGTTTTATTGAAGTCTCATCTAAGGATGGTTATTATCACCTATTACTATAGGTACTCTTGATTTCAACTTCTGCCCCAGGAAACAAAGGTGGCTGTAGAGACCAGTGAATCTTGGCTTCTGACAGAAATGATTGCAAATCAAACTTTGTCATGACATTTTTAAAGATGGACGCTGTGGAGTAGGTTTGTGGGAAAGCAAGTGGAAGTTTGTGTGTGGCTAGACTGGAGAGTGAAATGGAACCAATTTATACCTATTCCTAGTTGTTTACATTATTGAAAATATTATTGGACCCAGAGTCAGAAGAACTTGCTGGGATTATATCCTTGTGCTGTTAATTACAGTTCTATGGTTTTGCAGCACCTGGGTGGCTCAGTTAGAGGAGTGTGTGACACTTAATTTCAGGAGTCATGATTTCAAAGCCCCACATTGTGTATAGATACTACTTAAATAAATAAAAATTAAAAACAAAAGATTATCTATGGCCTCAGGTAAAATATGTAATTTATTTGAGCCTAGAGTCCTCATTAGTAAAAGAGAACTTTTAATAGTACCTATTTTATTAAGCCATTATGTAGTAAGTGTGTGGCATTGTGACTGGCATGTTGTAAGTCTCACAAAACAGTGACTAGTATTAATCTCTGAACATCTACCATGTAACAAGTACTATGAAAACACTTTTATACTATTTTTCTTAATTCTTCCAAAATATTAAGGTTAATGTGGTATATTTTTGACACTTTACAGGTGAGGAGACTGAGGCTAATTAAACTTAAGTAACTTGCATCAATCAAGTGACTGAGTGGAAAGTCAAGTATAGGCTTCTAAGTTATTATAGCATTGTCTTTGTTCCTTCCTTCTTTTATGTGAGAAAGCAGTGTCCCAAGTTACTTTAAATCACAGAGTGTTATCAGTGAGAGGTAAGGAACAGAAGAAGCAATAAAGGTGAATTATTCATTCTTAAAATATGGCAATCTGGTTGAGCTGCTTAATTAA